GGGTTCGATAGAAACGTCAGCATAAATTTGATCGAGCCGCAGGGAAATCATATCGTTCCTTGCTACATCCTTTCTGAGAAACGAGGGGACTATTTGTATACAGTCAAAATCGATTCTCAGTCATAAAAATCGGTCGAGACAATGACATTTCAATCGAAGGGTATCCACATAATAAGCTTAGACGAATTCCGAAGTAGGGACGTCGAGCTTCGATCTATAAGACCAATCAACGGCAAAACTCGATATCATTATCGAGCCCGTGTTCGAATCGGACTACGGGGCAACACCGATCGACACAGGCTCCGAATATCGATGCCCCAAGGCAGAACCGAGCTCGAACCAAGACTGGAGGTTCGATCTAACACCGAGCTCGAGCCAGTGCCAAGCTCGCAGATAAGAACCGTTACAACCGCACCGAGGGAGAGAATCTTGGCGAGAATCAAGGAAGAGACAAACCATCATGGGTCCTCCACTATATGTATTATTTTATTATGTTGTTATAGATAAAGCAGTGACCCTCTACTATAAAAAGGGGGATAGACTGCAATAGACGCAGGTCCTCCAAGATACATTAAGATTTCATTGTGCTTGTTTTTCTAACTCATTTCAGTCTTTCCGTCCATCATTCCCATTTTATAGCAAAAATACCTGTATTGTTATTTTGTATCAAAGGAATTTGCATACCCTTAGAACCATATCTAAATTTAATGTTATCCGATTTTTCGGGTAAATAAATTTATAAAATAAATAAATATTGAATTTGATCAGCTACTTGTGTAACAATCCCATAAAAATACTAGAAAAGAAAAAGATTCTATTATTTGATGAGGATCTTCCCGTCAATAGATATGAATGGGTGTTCAATATAGCGGAAAAAGAAACTCAATGAACTGCAACGGATGGAAAGCTCAACTTTACCCAAAATTTCTAACAACTCAATTTTTAGTGGCGACATTTGGCGGCGACCTCTTTAGTCGCCACCAAAGGTAGTACACGTCGAATTTTCCAGTTGCGACCTACCTTTAGTCTTGTTTGGCTCATTGTTTTCTTTTGTGACGATCTTAGTCGCCACAAAAGCTTATTTGTTTTATTTTTAACTTTATGGCAACTAAGTTTGCCACAAAAAGTAAAGATTTTTTTTAAGGTAGTCGCTACTCAAAACTGTTGCGGTGACATATAATTCGCTGTTTTTGAGGATCCGACAATTTATACAGGAACTTTCCAACTGACCGGTTGGAAACTATCACCTATTGCGCCGACTCGTGACACTTACTTATCCTTACTGAAAACCTTGTTTCCTGTAGTGTAATAATTGAGAAGCTAAAGGTAGACAACTCCAAGCAAAGTGACTTTTAAATTCTCATGTATCAGGCTGAAACTGCAGCAGCCCTATATTCTACTATAAGTTTTTGAATACAATTGGATGCTAACAACTTGAATAGTCTATTATTAACTAAAGTTGGTGATGATATTATAACATAAATATGTTCATAGTACGACGAAAATGAACATCAGTTGTACTCGTTATAGATATTTCTCCTATATACAGAATTAAATTACTGAACAAAATAAATAAAGTTCCAACATAAAAAATGGTTTTTCTTTGGATTTCTAGAAAATGGCGTACCTTGCCATAATTGTTAAAGTTTGTTTTGAGAATGTACTCAACGTTAGCAGGGTCAGCAGTATAAATCTCATTCCTGAAAGGGTTAATCAATCTGTAAGTTCTGTACTTGCCAGCAAGATCAATCATATAGTGGTACAGCCTGTGGAAGTTGAGAAGCTGATTGAAAATGGTGTCAACAATTGGATGGTATAATCTCTTCTTGCCATGTTTCCCTAGTAGTTTTCTGGTCTGAAGATGAATTAAAGTTCCTAATTTCCACTTCCGCGTCAAGATTTGTTACCCCTTGGCCTCTCTTTTCTTACTTGTAACAAACAAGACTGTCTATATGTATGACATTTTATTAAACTAGTTTACCCTGTGCATCTATCGACTATTCTACCAATACATATCTTCCACTAGCACGAGTACTGAGTAACGCTGCCTGTCAAAGTTTAGATAGATGAGAAGAAATAATTTAATTTTTGCCTACACGGGAATTTGAACCTTGGGGTGCCATAGTTTTTATCCCGCATTACCGCTAGACTATATCGTTGGATGCGTAATGCTCTCCTTATTTCTTTTCGATGAAAAGGATCGAGAGGTTTTTTTCCTCGTCAGAACCAAAATGCATGTCTTATCTGCATTCCAAATATGGAAAACGTGATTAGGCTTCCTCAGCAGAAAGCACTGTTTTCCAAATAAAATTAAATACTCCATTTGAATTCTAGGTACAATGTCGTTAATTAGTTAAGTTTTTTATTCTTTGAGGGAGCTCTGCATGACTATATTATGTGTTTTAGGAAGTCTTTGTAAATTTCGATGCATCAGCTACTACTTCATTTTTTGTCTTATCATTAATTTTTTTTTAAAAGGGAAATGTTAGGATCGGGAAATCGAGTAGTACGGAATTTAGCCAAATAACGTTATAATGATAATAACAAAGACAACGCAAGTTGATAATAACGGTAATTAAAGAAGATAAAGAAGACACAAATTTAACGTGGTTCGGTCAAGGTGACTTACGTCCACAAGCGGAGAGAAACAATTTCACTATACCAACAAGAGTACAAAAGAGAGTACAAAATTAGAGTAAATACTCTAATTACCAAATACCCCAAGAGAATAGCCTCACAAGATCACTCCAAAGAAAGGGTTCACACAAGTGTTTCCCAACACTCACTCTCTTACAAAATACTCTATAATGAAATAAAGGAGGAGAAAGATAGACAAGAGTGAAAAACTCTTGAATTGGTGTGTTTTCAAATGGGGAGAAACTCCTCTATTTATAGCAAGAAATTCTTGGCCTAATAGTGGATATTATGTTATGACAAATGTCATGATTCACAAATTTATCTTAGTGGATATTATGTTATTGCAAATGTCATGAAAATTTGGCCCCCGCTTGAGAAGAAGCCAAATTAATGGCCATATTACAGGAAAGCTCTTTGCCTGTGCATATTCGAGGACCGGCATGTAAATCAAATAAACCAACAAGTTAAAGAAAAGGTAATATGATGCAGCCATGTAAGGAACAGTATTAAAGAAGTTCTTATCTTGGAGCAGAAGCCAAATAAGGGACAATATAAGGCATTCTAGAATTTTGTTTCCAAAGCACGATTAAGGTGCAATGAACAACTCAATATCTCAAGAGCCATCTCGCTCAAATATCGCCACAAGGCCTAAACAGGACCACATCATACGGGTGGATAGTCAAATAATCTCACATCCCATCGTAGCATAAGAGAGTAACACATGGAATAGATCCGAGCATGAATAAGATCAACTCTAGCCGATGACACACCCCTCACAATTGCTGTTCTGAGTAGACAAATCCTGTTTTTGGACAAAAAATTGTATTTGGACCGCAGGGTGTAGCCTCAAGGTTTCTGTTAATATCGCAGGAAGATAATTTTTTCTCAAGGATTTACAAAATCTATTCATTTCTAGCTGGTTGCGCCTAGTCAAGGAAAAGAAGAAATTTACACATTATTGACCTTTGAAATACTTCATTATATTCACCACATAGTAATACATTAAGAAGTTGCTTGGGAACTCATTTTTTCGCTAAACTACTTTTACAAGACAAACGAGAGGACGGGAGGTTACTAGATAGACTGCTGACATATATCACAAGAATTCATCCTCATGTATCGAGGGAAATGGAGAGATCACTACTTTTCCTCTGGCTCTTCCAGTTTCTAAGTAACTAAACGCCTCGATAACTTCATAGAAGTGAAATGGACTTGCAGGATCAATTGTTGCCTTTAGCTTTCCATTCTCTAGATATGGTTCAATCTTCTCAAGAACTTCTCCACTTATTGTCAAGCTTGAATGCATTGCATTAGGATTTGAAGGAGGCCAAGTTATGTCAATTATTGGTGCTTCTTCTTTGGCCACCACATAGGAATTCTTGGAGTCACCTAATAACAAGTTTACAATTTTGATGAGAAAAAACTGCACATAGAAAAAACATTAGTAGAAGATGGTTTAAAATGACAAAAAAAAAAAAATGAACAAAAGTTACCTATTGTGTCATAGACAAGGTCATATTTCTCCTTAATGTCTTCATATCTAGTTTGTGTATAATCAACAACCTTGTCAGCTCCCAAACTTTTGACAAACTCCACTTTGGTAGTACTAGTAGTTGCTGTAACAAAAGAAGCCCCATACAATTGCTTGGCCAGTTGAATAACCAAGGATCCAACACCACCAGCACCACCAACTATAAAAACACTCTGCCCCTTCTTAAAACCTGCTGTTTTGAAACCTTCAATTGCTGTTTGAAGTGCCACAGGCAAGCTTGCTGCTTCCTCAAATGAAACTTTTTTTGGCTTTCTTGCCACTAATTCCTCCTCAACTACTATAAACTCTGTTAATGTCCCAGGCTGCTTTATTTTATCTTTGGTGAAATTTTGAATGTTCCCATAAACCTCATCACCTATCTCAAATCTTGATACAGAATCTCCTTTTCCCACCACAACACCAGCCATGTCACAACCTGCACAAACATCCTGATATTCATTATGATATGTTGTCAACAGAGTTGAACACAATATGCGTTCCATAAGTTCAGCTGAATCCAACTTTTCTTCCAAGGAACTTACCTAAATGTGGTGAAGAATTACTAAATTTCAATAAATATTAAATTCTGGAACACATAATTTCAGAAGTGCGATGGATTTAGTGGTAAGAACATAAAAAGAACCTATCAAGTTTAAATTCTGGTTCCGTCTATAGGCTCTTATGCAGATAGTTTTTGGATGAAAAAGAGTCGCGGCGCATGCAAGTGATGGTCCTCTCTAAGCTATTTTAAGGATGGAGGGAATGATTCTTGTGCCTGTGATCATAAGTAGGAGTATATACTCACAGGAAAATCTAAAGGGACAATGGGTCGTTGGCGGAACTTGAAATCTATAGGATTCAAGGCTGCAGCTTTGACTTGAACAAGTAGTTGATCATGTTGAGGACAAGGAATTGGGAAGTCTTCTAGTTTGAGTACTTCTTTAGGACCATATTCTTTATACATCCAAACCTTTTGCAATTGTCTCTCTGCAGGGTTTTGTACTCCAAGCAAAAACTTCATCTTTGCAGTTCAAGACTTGACAAGATCTGAAGTGGTAAGAAAATTCAAGGCAAAGGATATAAATGCTGTTCAAAGAGGAGGAAATAATAAGGATGTGATGCAAGAACATGAGGGGAACAGAACAATTCAAACAACAACAACAACGACCCAGTAAAATTACACTAGTGGGGTCTGGAGAGGGTAGTGTATACGCAGACCTTACCCCTACCCCGAAGGAGTAGAGACACTGTTTCCGAAAATCCCTCGGCTCAAGAAGACGAAAAGAGACAATATCAGTACCACCAACAGAAACCATAAGAAAAATAACAACATCATGAAAAAATAGAACAAATCAAAATGACATGAATTTTCGGAAGATACAATTAATATCTTTATTTATGAAAACATGATCATAGGACTAATAGGTAAATTGAGAGTTAGTTATCCATTGTAATATGTGAAAGTGAGTTCCACTTAAGGGGCTACAGGTTTAATGATGATTTATTTTGTTTCTATGCATGAATAACTGAGGCTAAGTGTTTCTTGAAAATTTATGTTGCTCAAGAAATTAGTTTCTTGAAAAAGAAAATAATGAAAAGAAAGAAAACGACCCCCAGGTAACTATGCAAATTCTTGACAGGAACAAATCCATATGACATGTTTCATTAGTTTTACCAATTGGCTCTAAGCTTGGGTCATGTGTTTTTCGATGATTTGATTAGCACTTTTTTTATATTTTAAAGAACGAATGACTATATTAAACTAATCCCAATTACACTGAGCAGTAAAATCACTTCAGAATTTTCCATACATTAGCAAAATCATGGGATACGTGATCTTTGCAAAACATAGTACGAAAGATTGTGATAGGTTGATCCGTTGATGGTCAGCATATATAACTATGACAAATCATTTGAATTCATATAATCAGCTCCTAATTAAAAATTTATAGCCTTGACCAAGTTTCTTTAGGGACAAAAGTGTTTATTACGGCAAACATGCTTTTTTTCCTAACGTTAAGGTGTTTGGCCAATTGTAAAAAGTTGGTCGAAGCAAAAATAGTTTTTGAGAAGCTGAAAAAATAGATTTTTTAAAATAATTTTTTGAAAAGTACTTTTAAGAAAAATACATTAGTAGTACTTTCAAAAGTTTGATCAAACACTAGTTTGATGCTCAAAAGTATTTTTAAAATTAATTAGCGAAAAAAATGAAGCAAGGAAGAGCCGAATTACATTGGCTCTTAAAATTTCGTTTATATTAAAAATCTCGCATATCTTGAGAAACAACAACAACAGCAACGTCTCATTGAAATCCCGCTAGTGAGGTCTGAGGAGGCTACTGTATACGCAGATCTTACCCCTACCCCGAGGGAGTAGAGAGACTGTTTCCGAAAGACCCTGGCTCAAGAAGATGAAAAGAGACAATATGAGTATCACCAATAGAAATCATAGGAAAAATAACATCATAGAAATGAGAAAGTAGATGCAAAGCAAATGCGATAGACAATACATAGACCCGGCACTATGGAAAACAAAAGAGCAGTAAGACATAATATTGCCACTAGTTGACATCGACAAAATCATTAGCCTCACAAAGGTACGAAGTAAGGGATACTCAACTACCTCCTAACCTACAATACTAACACTCGACCTCCACAATTTCGTATCAAGAGCCTTGTACTCGGAAATCTGAAGTCTCGCTATATTCTGCCTGCCTGATCACCTCTCCTCAATACTTCTTAGGTCGTCCTCTACCTCTTCTCGTATCCTCCAAAGTCATCCGCTCGCACCTCCTTATCGGGGCATCCGGGCTTCTCCTTTGTATATGTCCGAACCATCTGATTCTCGCTTCCCACATCTTGTCATCAATGGGAGCCACACCCACCTTCTTCCGAATATCTTCATTCCTAATCTTATCCATCCTAGTGTCCGTACATCCAATTCGCCATTCTCATTTCTGCTACTTTCTTCTTAACAGGTCAACATTCAACTCCATGCATCATGACCGGTCTAACTATGCCTTCCTAAAACTTTATATCTTGAGAAATTAAAATTTAAAAAAATAGAGAGTTGAGCTTCTCCTCTTCACATCAGAAGAAATAGAATGCGAAGAAGAGTCAAGTGGGAACTTGATTTTCAAGCTACAAACAGAATCATCTTAAAAGTCAATCTGAAAATGGTACGTTTTCCATGAATCATCCCTTAATATTCATAATAAATATTTTCTTGAATAGTATCTTTTTACATCATACCAAACAGGGCCTTAACATGCTAAAATTTCCAATTCTCCATTAGTACAAATTTCTCAGATAGTATGAGTTTTCTCAAAGACCTGGCTGAAACCCTAAGCTCGATCTTTTCGGACACTCCATCATCGTCTTCGCCTCAGAACGATCGTAACCTAAACTCCGGCGATCGGATGATGGACGGCGTTGCCACCGGCAACGAACGGGCGGCGTATAAGCTGAAAGGCTACTTTGATTTGGCCAAAGAAGAGATCGACAAAGCCGTTAGGGCTGAAGAATGGGGATTGGCTGATGATGCAATTTCACATTACCAAAATGCTCAGAAAATACTCGCCGAAGGAATTTCTACTCCGGTTCCTTCGTATGTTACTTCTAGGTATTCAATTTTTTCTTTTTCAATTTCAATCAAGTTTGAATATTTTGGTGTATTTATGTATGCTATTGTTTGATTAGATTTATTAGAGGCTTAATGCTACTGCAGCCACTATTTTAATGTGACGCTGAGTTCGAACTTTCTAGAAAAATGTGATTTTTGTTAAAAAAAAGAAAAAGAAAAGGAAATTGTTCAATACATGTATGGTTCAAGTTGAGAGCAGAGGATATGATTAAACCTTAGGTCATTGTTTGCTTAAACATGTTTAAATTGAATGAGTACAGCTTATTTCTGTGTTAATTTGCTTATGTGATGGTGTTATGGAAGATAAAATTAATCTAATGCTCAGTGGTTGAGCGTAATGCTATAGAAGATTATATAATCAAATCCGACTAGTTTGAGATTGAGGTGCTTGATTGATTGATAATTTGGTTGAGCTAGGACTTCTGAAGAAGGAATGAAGTGCATTCTTTTTTCCTGTAGAACTGTTTTTTAGTTGTCTAAAATGTAACTTGTGATGTGTGATTGTCATGTTCCTTTTCAGCTATTAGGCTCCAGTGAGGCAAAATAGAGACACACATGCATTTTGCAACTACATTTTCAACCATAGCTATGCTTTAGTATCGAGGATAACCTGGAGATCCATGACAAGTGTGTTGTTTCTTGTATGTGTTGGCTTCTTGTCTTTATCTCAAACTAACACTGCTCTTTACTACTTCTTAAAGTGAGTTTTATGTAGTTAGTTGTAATTTCTGATTCTCCTTTATATATAATTACTTCTAATTTTGTGCAATTCAGCGTTATTCACATGTACAGAATGCTAATTCATTGAACACCAAATCTTGCAATTCTGTCTGTGTTGACTGGATTCTTGTGTTTTAACACTTTTCTGTCTCTTTTCTTACTGTAGTAAGAGTTATTTAATTGATTTCTGATGCAAAGTTAGATGTTTAGTGTGACATGTCGGCAGCAGTAGGTACATAGGATGAAAAATGGGCTGGTTTGTTTCAATATACTTAGTAAATTGTAAAGAAAATTTTACGATTAAAGAATAAATCATCCCTTTCTGGCATATCTGATTTTCTTGGTCATCTGATGGATTATGGTGTAATTGGGCCGCCCTCTTGTGGTTTTTAAACAGTGAACAAGAGAAAGTGAAATCATATCGTCAAAAGCTAACAAAGTGGAAGTCTCAAGTTTCAGAGAGACTTCAGACTCTAAGTCGACGAGCAGGTTCGAAAATTCTATTCCTTCTTGCATTGAGTTTCTAATCTTATCTTAACCAGCAGGGAGAATAACTAAGTACTATTTCTTGCTTCCCTTTGCCCACTCCCATTTCAGGTGGCACATCTGCAGTCAAGGTATGGACTGCTGTATGAAGTTTGTTATGTTGAGTAGACAATTTCAGATGTTCATTTTAAGCTAACAAATACTACATCTTTTCCATCCAATGGAATTGCAAGTCTCCTTCCTATCTCGTCGTGATGATGCCTCCTTTTTCAATTTTAGAACTTTACTACGAGCTTTTGGTGCTAATGTGGAGTAATGCTGTTGCTCAAATTGGTTCTTCTCTTTGATGCATCTGCTTGCAGGCTGCAGCATTTCTACATTTTGTTTTGTCCATTTCTTATTTATGATGTCCTAGTAATTATTTTCTTAACAAAAGTAAGTAATGTAATTAGTTGTTCATGGATAATCCTGCTTCTTCGTTTGTCCTTTCGCTTGTTGTCACTGTCCTGTAGGCCTTCATCTTTTTAGGTATTATAATTACAATTTGGCACTTGAGAGGAACTAAAACACTCTCACATAGGGGTTCTAAACAAGCCAATCTCAACCTTCAACAAGTTCGGCTTGATTTAACGCTATTTGAATAGCTAGAGCTTGGACAAGCTTGATTTAGAAGGCTTGCGTGTAGCTCGACACTTTGCTTATGAAGGAATCAACTATTATTGAACGGAGAAGACTAAACGACCCAAGGATAAGAAAAGCTTTAAAAAGCGCTCTAGGTCTATTAGGGCTTTAAGCGCAGTTAAAGTGTGGGCTTTAGTAAAAAATGGCGTATTGAAAAAAAATAAATTTATATTCGTAATGCTATGTTGTTCGGATTCTCCAAAAAAATCGCCGGGTATGTGTTAAATCCTCCAAAAGTAGTGCATTTTTGGAGGATCCGACACGGGGGCGGCACCTTTATTGGAGAGTCCGCGCAACATAGTCGTAATGTAAGAAAAGAATAACTAATTCATTCATAAGGTTTTCCTTAACAATTATTATATCTCTTTGCTGATTATATTTTATTGTTTAGTACCGCTCGATTCAACATAGAAAGCATGGCCTATAAAGCATACGCCTTAGTGCCTTACCATCACTGAACCATAGCTTAAGCAAGGCAAAGCGCCCTCCTTGAGCTTTTTTGAGCTTCAGGGCGTAAGCGCCACGAGCCTTTGAACTGTTTTAAATGGAAAGTACAATTCAATCGGTAAACTCTGAACATGGGCGTCAAATGTTTTTGATACAAAATTATTTTGTCATCATTGAAAGTTTCACGAGCTGAGCTTGCCATTTGTCACCATGCTGGGTCTGGTTCATAATTCATGGTACCCCTACTCCCACAGTTGTATACTTCTGAACGAATCCAGAATTGGACATGTTGTGAATTTCTGATATGTTAGTTGCAAAGTGGGTATCATGTGATCATAATTGATCTGGGCATGTTCTCCCCAGATTTCAGCACCTCAAACCCAAAGGCTGGCTGTTTCACAATCAAGTTCATCTGCTCGAAAAGGAGAATCTCGATCTGCGCCTAGTTCTGGGAGAGACAGCTCTGTTATGAGGGTTCCTAGTTCCGGAAAAGACAGCTCTGTTGCGAGGGTTCCTAGTAATAGCATATCAAGCCACAAACCTTCACAGGAATCTGCTAATGGGTATGATCCAAAGTTGGTTGACATGATAAATTCTGTAATTGTGGATAGAAGCCCCTCTGTTAAATGGGAAGATATTGGTGAGAAGCCATCCTTTCCTGTGCCTCCTACCCCTATGCAATGATTTGTAAAATCGTTTATTCTTGAATTGGGTTTTCCTGCAGCGGGACTTGAAAAGGCAAAGCAAGCTCTCTTAGAGATGGTAATTCTACCAACCAAAAGAAAGGACCTCTTCACTGGCTTAAGAAGGCCTGCTAGAGGTATTGCATCTATATGTGATTACCACTATAAAACACTAGGAACTTGTTTCTGAAAAGGTTGATGTTATGGTATTACAGGTCTACTTCTTTTTGGACCACCGGGTACTGGAAAAACCATGCTTGCCAAAGCAGTAGCTTCAGAGTCGGAGGCAACATTTTTCAATGTGTCTGCTTCTTCGCTAACATCAAAGTGGGTGTGTGTCTCTTTTGTTTGTGCCTTTGATTGAGTTTGTTTTGCATCATTTGATATTCTGAGCTTCACGTTCTTATATTATTATGACAGGTTGGAGAGGGTGAAAAGCTTGTCAAGACACTTTTCATGGTTGCCATTTCCAGGAAGCCATCTGTAATTTTCATGGATGAGGTAAGACATTATCAGCAATTATTATATTGATTGATGCCTCAGCTATTATACTTATTCCATGTTTTTCCTGCTTGGTCTTCATTTAATGAATTTGAAAAATACCTATAAAGAGAGTCTTTATCAATTGTTTTCTTCATTTTTACCTATTAAACAAATAAAGAAATTAGAAACTTATATCCCTCTTCCGCATTTAAAAAAAACTTATATTCCTCTTCCATCAAAGGCAGACTTTCTTTGGTGGGTGGTGGGCGGGGGACAAATTAAACAGAAAAAAGTAGAAAGTTGTATCAGTGAAAATTGCTTCGTCCCGATAAGAGGTGAAACCCGGACTATTTCGAACTCCGTTTTACAAGCCAAAAAGGCAGCTTGGTATCAAGCTCCTTTCTATGTGCGGTGTCCATAGAAGGGCCAGAGCACATTGAGGAAGTCTTACCTTGCATTTCTGCAAGGGGCTCGTTCTACTGTTTGAAACCTTGACCTCTTGGTCACATGGCGGCAACTCTTGCCATTGCTCTGACGTGCAAACATATATTAGAATTAGAAAAAAGAACTTAAGAAGAGCTGGTTCGCTTGCCGTTCCACATCATGCTTTTGCTTGATTCCTTCACGAGTTGGACAAATGCACCTTCTTCTTTTTTTCTTAACCCACTTCAAGGCCTTTGAGATTAGCTAAATAGTTTACGGGCAAGCAACATCATGTTTGATGATGATTTAAAACACTGCCTTTACTCTCTTGGCACATCTGTCAGTTAGGTGAAAGTGAAGCTTTCTTGGTCAAGTCATGGATGGACCTCTGTAGGATTTGCAATATTTGCTATGCAATTTTGAAAAGTAACGCAAATTATTAGCTATGTATAAATTGTTTGTTTGCTCTAACTGATTGGCATTTTAGTTTGCGTCCTAGATATTTGTGTTATATGACTTTGTTTTGATTCTTCTATATGAAGTCTCTTAAGTTTGGTTCTTGTAGATACTTCGGTAAAACACCGCATGTATCTTTCTTTTCACATATCCAAAAGAAAAAATAGTTAGTACTCCTGATGTTTCATTTTATGCGACACTCTTTCCTTTTTAGTCTGTTTCAAAAAAAAAAATGACACCTTTCTATATTTAGAAACAATTTAACTTTAAACTTCCTATATTACCCTTAGTGACACGATTTTGTGGTCTTAAGACCACAAATTTTAAAATTTTTCTTTCTTTCTTAAACTCTGTTCCAAGTCAAGCTCTCCACATAAATATGACATGGGGGGATTATATTTATTTAGACTTTGCTGCTAATAAACTACATGTCTGCCACTTGTGTCTTTCGTTGTTAAATACATCTAAACGTACATTTGTTGCTTATTGGTAGCAAATCTTACCTTCAAGCTATTTTTTGGTTAACAGATAGATAGTATTATGTCAACTAGGACTACCAATGAGAATGAAGCAAGCAGAAGGTTGAAATCAGAGTTTCTAGTTCAGTTTGATGGGGTGACATCAAATTCTGATGACCTGGTAATTGTAATTGGTAAGCTTCATGCTGTTTCTGTACTTGTTCTCTTAGTTATGGTGTCTCTCTCAGTAGCTGGTCCTGCTAATTGATGCTCAGGGCTTATTGTTTTCTGGGTGTAGTATCCTGGATCCTAGGGTAACAGGTTTTTTTAGGGTTGGGTTTAGTTAAATGAAGTGTGTTTATGGCCTTCCACGTGTCCATTTAATTCATGGGTCGGATTTCTTAACGGCTGAGGGGTAAATCTAAAGGGTAATTTTAAACAATGTCCAATAGTAGAGGGGTAAGTATGCCCCTTTTCTGAAAATAAAATGATAAAATACACTATAAGAGAAAGATTTAAAAAAGAAAAGAAAAGAAGGTAGTGACCTAATATGCTTAAGAACATAATTTACATAGCCAAACTATCAGAAAGGATAAAGAATCTAATAAGCTTAGAATGTTTGAGACACCGTGCATATGCCTAACACTACAAAGATGTGAAGTATTAGTGTTCAACATGTACCAAGGAAAAGCCATTTTTCCAAACCTTTGTAGTCTGGAACTTTTGTCTGCCAATGTCAAACTGACCCTGATGTGGTGACTCTAGATGGGCCCTCTGAAATTTCAGTGACTCACTGATCAATAATCATGGGCCATCTGATTTTTCAGTGACTCACTGATCAATAATCATTCTGATGTTGTTCTGAGATCTTTGAGAATATGTTATCAGTCTACAGAAGTTGCTTTTTCTGGTCGTTGTATTCTCTATCTATTGTGTCTGAGCAATCTGCCTATGCTGATGCAGGTGCCACGAATAAGCCACAGGAGTTGGATGATGCTGTTCTAAGGAGATTGGTAAGTGCTGGCACTTGATCAGAATGCAGTTTGTCTTGAGAACATAGTTGCAATTTCATCATTGGCTTGCTTATAGATGTGTGTTTTATTTTTTGGCCTGATAGGTTGGGTAGATATTAGGACAAATTAATGGACATGAAGATAAAGGGTATACAACTATACATCACAGCAATATGTTTGAGTTTTTCCTTGACAAATCTACATAAGTCTAGTGTAAAAAGTTACATAAGCCCATCTACTTTATTCGCAAGTCATTAGAAAAAACCCAATTAACACCAGCAATTAACGTTTTCAGTTCGTAATTTTGATATCCTTGCTGCATCTTACATGGAAATTCAAGTGTGGACTGAGGGAATACGAGTGCCACATTACTAAAATACTCTTTGACTCTAGAAGATAAGTGAAATGATCTGAATCTGACCAGCAGCTTATAATAAGAAAGTAGAGAACAAAATATCAAGTTGCAAATTGCTTCTGAACTTGTCCCTTATTATTATTTGAAGGGTGGTTTTCGTTCCTTGTCTGTGATCATAGAAGCTTAATAAGTAAGTTACTGAAGAGTATAGTTCTAATTTCTATGTGAACTGTTCTTAACTTTTCTATAGATAGCTCGTTATCAAAAAATTATTATAAATAGTTGTAAGGTTGTTTTCTTTCTAATATGCTTGTTACTCTATGGAACAGGTCAAAAGAATATATATTCCTTTACCTGATGCTAATGTTAGAAGACAACTTCTGAAACACAGNAAAAAAAAAAAAAAAAAAAAAAAAAAAAGGTTTTAATGAAGTTGATCGATTTACAATTTGAGATGTGAAATGTGGATGAAATCTAAATACAATCATGATGTTGCGAATTCTTAACCAACTGTCAGTGCATTACAGTCGACAGAAGTATGATCATTACACTTCAACTGGGTTTTTCTATTCCACTTCTTAGAAAGAAAAGAACTTAAGTAAACATCTTAAAAGCATTTAAACCAAAAAAAAAAAGGAAACCTCCAAAGATCTTGGAAAATTTGTCTGATTCAAACTTGGTATGGAAGGAAAGCAATGATGATTTGCATCCTTTTATAGAAGGTCATTGAAAGTCTATTATGATTGGACATGTCTAATTTAGTTATGCGCAGGAAAGCAAGATAATTGCAGTCTAGAGTTCTTTAAAGTAATGGTGTTTGTGTCCCATATTTTATCACTCGTTTAAGTTGTCCGTGCTTTTACAAAAATCTTGCGTAGTCACTGCTGGCTTAAGGGCAACCACGCCTCCCCTGGCCCTCCCTACTTTTTTGGTTTTTCTATGCATGGGAGTGGGAGAGGTCTCTCTTCGGTTCACATCCATTTTAGTGGGAAGTCCAAGACCATTTCTCAATATTCCTCTTTATCTGAAGCATATCAAGCATCTCTGCAATTGTTGCTTGAAAACCAAACATGCTTCACTTTTTGTTCTTCGAGTTCGTAATACAACTTTGTCTTCTCTGTGTTTGATTTTATATTATGATATCAATAAAAGTCCAATGTGCATTCTGGACTTATCTCTCTTATGTAGCTTCAGTCGATAAAGGTTTTTAAGCTTACTGATAATCCTGCTCATTTGTTGTATACTCGAACTATTTGTTCTTATACAATCTTTTGAGGATGACAGAGGATCAAATAAAATCGTTTGAAAGGACTTCTTATTGTATTTGGAGAGACTTTCTTTTTTATTTTGTGAAATATAAAGCCTAGTTCTTACTTAGAATAATTGCATGCTAATGCAATGTTAGCTAACTCAGTTTTGTTTATTGGATGATAGGTGGAGATCTAGAACCACTAGTGAGAGACACAGAAGGTAAAAAGTGCTATGAGTTCTTTCCATTAGCAAATTTTTAACTGAACATCTGTTTCTTAAGAATCTTTATCAACATCTCTTGTTTCTCATGGGAAACTCAATCTGAAAACTACTTTTTCACAGGGTATTCTGGAAGTGATCTTCAAGCCTTGTGCGAGGAGGCTGCAATGATGCCGATCAGAGAGCTTGGTGCTAACATTCTCAGAGTCAATGTAGATCAGGTGGTAATTTTTCTCTGGAGTTTACAGTGCTACCTCTTGAATTTGTTTGCCTGTTGTAGTTAATGTTTCTACATGCACTAAAAGCATATTGCTGAAAATAGCTGAAATACTACTCCAAAGATACCTTGTGTTTTTCTATGAAGTTGAAGTCCGAAGACTACTCTTCCCATGCTCTTTCAAGTACTCCATCCCTGTCTCCATTTTGTGGATATGCTTCTCATTTGGACTATCTCAAAATGTTTGACAGTCCTTTACTGAAGTTTGTACAGCTTATAAGATTGTCAAGAATTAAATTTGTTTGAAATTTAACTCTGCTTAATCAACCTTGTCAGATATAGTACCACGGGAGTATTCATACTCCTAGTTGTTTCCTCGGAACCTGAAAGGTTGACGTCATTTGTTTTAGATGTCAGTTTGAGTTAGTTATACACCTTTGGATGCACTATCTGAAATTGGATTGCAGGACATACTTAAAAGCTTTGTGACTAGGAGTATTTAAGACAGTTTGGAAATAGCAGTTTTACATCTCTATAATTTCTTTTATAATTCCATAATTTGTCTGGTTCTATTTCCACCACACTTGTGGGATTATACTGTTTTTTTTTTGTTTTTGTTGTCGTTGTCTGTTTCTATTTCCGAGGATTGAAATAATGGTGGTCACTAAGTATACGATTGACCAGCACTTGGAAGCAAGTCTATTTTCGTACCATGTAGACGGTGAATAAATCGTGGATATTCTACTTCACCTATCACCAGAAAAATTGTGGATATTGACTCATCCAGATTTTGCAGGTAAGGGGTTTAAGATATGGAGATTTCCAAAAGGCCATGACAGTGATTAGGCCTAGTCTGCAAAAGAGCAAGTGGGAGGAACTTGAACGGTGGAACCAAGAGTTTGGTGCAAACTAAACTCCTGAATATTTGCGCAATCTGAAGTAAGCTAAAACAAAAGTTTATGACAAGCCAGCAGATGATATTTGTTTTTTGGGCAGGTCAGTTTCTGACTGCATCTGTACATACTTAAGAACTTAAATAGAATATTATTCAAAATTTGGATATTTTCCAGGGAAGCATGTATAGATGATCAGGACGTGTGATACACAAGTTTTCTGGTTTCCCTTTGTGTCTAGATGTTTGTATAGGAACGGACTGTTGAATACACTGTAATAGTGGATGACGTTCTTAGCAATCCCTAAATAACACTTTTTTTAATTTATAAATAAAATCCTCTCAAGGGCAGAGAGATCGGCAGATCCTTATCCATATATTAATAGCCTAAAAATTAATACATAGATGAAAAGAATGCTGTGTAACCTCCTCTATACTCAGCTTGTCTTGGGAATAAAATAATTTCAGAGCAGTGGAAACTACGATATACCCCAACTAAAATTAGCCGCGTTAATTTAAAATAAAAGTGTCTTGTGAAGTAAAGGTGACAAGTCAATACTAATTCTTACTTGCTTTAATGTAAAACACTTTCTCTGAAATTGATTTCACTTGACAAGGATATTGAAACTACTAATCTCCTCTAACAATAATTGCAGAGCAGTGGAAACTACTAATCTTCAAATCCTTCTTTGGGGCCATTGAACATTCAATCAAAATGAAAATGTTTCAAAGTAAAACAACAATTCATTTGTGAAGATAGCAAACCACCAAATTTCGTTCAGGTGAAATTGTTTACGTCGAAGCTTGTAAGGTGCCCGAAGATTATGTAAGAATCTTTACCAAAAGTACCCAAAGCAGCTCAATAACTTGAAAATTTGGAGAACAGAGTTAAATAAAAATGAAATCAAACCCAAAAATTGTAGCATAGAAGGGTTTTGATTTTTTGAGAGGCAAGATCAACATAAAAATAACCCTCGACTTTGATACTCCAATCGTATCGCGTAAGTAGTCATAATCTCTAATTTGAGTTCATTAGAAGTTATTATCAAAAGCCTTTCTTCTTCAAGTACTTAATAATAGTCTTTTTCCTTTCTTTTTAGTTAATCAAAACATTCTTGCTTGTGAAGGTGCTAAAGCAAACCCGTTGCCTTATCATTTATACAAGAATCTAATGGTGTGACCACACTTATACAAAATTCAGTCAGATAAACATTAAGAGGATTAGTTTCTCTTTTCTAGATGTTAAATCAAAATGAGAGAAAATATCTTATCAAACGATCGAAAGCTTTTTTTAATCATGGGAAGTTCATTAGGTTAAATAAAACTTGAGGAGACAACTGGTACATATGATTCTTTGAACACAAGAAACCTTCAACAAAGGAAGAAAGAAACTTGAGATGAGACAACTGGTAAATATGATTAGGGTCTGTGAGATCACATATTTATGGCATCCTTGGGACATGAAGAAAGATTAACATCACTCAAGAATGAAGCAAGATCATATAAAAGGGTAAAACGAAATTTTTATATGAGTTCCGGGCCTATATATAAATACACAATTAATTAGGAACGTCGCTAACATAAGTTAAGTAATGCAATACAATCTAACAAGAATTACACAAAATCTAAAGTAGATTACAAGAATCGGATTTGCCTTTATTTAATGCAATTTAAACAGCTCTTAAATATGACCTTATTTTCTTTGAACAACTAAATTTATAAGATCGTAATTTATTTAAGTATGGTTAGTACATGTCACTTAAAAGATAAGTTCATATAATTCAGCTGTATCTTGCATAAACTGAGAGGTTCATCACTGTTGTCATTGATTTCTCTTACAAAAAGAGCAAATATACCATCAAATCTATTCAATTTAAGATACTCTGCTAATAAGGAATATTTCCTAATTTACAAATATATGTTTAAATAATCTATTCTTGTAACTCTTTTTTTAAAAAATATATATGTTTATAGAATTTACAGCTTGTTAGTGCCATTTTAAGTGTCCTAGTTGGTACGGTAAACACTATTTGTGACATAAAAGTCAGGAAATTAAACGGAGTAGTTTTCATCAAATAACTAGTCCAAAAAAAAAAGAAAAAACTTGTCCTTGAGAGTAAGGGAGGAAATGAACATGGAAATCCTTCAAACATTGTAGATTAAAATCGCTTTCCTTTGGTCAAAATCAAGTTGCTACTATACGAAGCACTTATATCTACCAACTTTTGTCCACACTATAATACTAACAAAAGTATTTCTCAAATGATTCGTCCAAACAAAAGTTGCTATTATCGGAAGTATTTTCCTTATAACTCAATGCAAATTTTTGAAAGTTTGGCCCGACTAGGATCTAAGAGTGGTATCCATATTAAAATCTCTGTATTTACGATCTGAAAATATCAAAGGAGTGAAAAACTAGCAAGAAGCTTGCGCAATACAATTGTTAATCTCATCAGTCTAACTAAACGACCAGGGCTAAAATAAGATAATTACAATTGGAATAGAGTAAATGTGTAATTAAGCAATAAACTTGGGGACACCTTCTTCACGGCACCTTAGAGTCTGACATTAATCGGTAGTTTAACCAATTAATTTAAACACATACATCATACACAAACACAAAGTAAGTTGATAATCTCTACTTGAACTTCAGATAATAATTCTTCTTTTTTTCTCCCTAGGGAACCTAGAGTTGTAATATGCGCCTGACCTGTTGGACATCGGGTTTTCCTTTTGTTTTTCTTTTTTCTAAAATCTCCTTAAAATTTGCACTACCGAGTTGGTGCAGTGATCTAAAGATATTGCATTTGCACGTAAGTTTTCCTTTAAAAAAAGAAAGAAAAACAAACAGAAACCCTGAGATCACTATAACAACTTGTTGGTGCCAATTCACTTGTGATTTTAGGAAAAACAAAAACAAAAGGAGAAGCCTGATGTCCAACAGGTTGAGGAGCATATTACTACTTAGGTTCTCAAGGGAAAAAAAACAGTGTTACCTGAAGTCCAATATAGATTATCAACTTACTTTATGTTCTCATATACGATGTATGTGCTCAAAAAAATTGGTTAAAGTACTGATCATAATATAGCAATTACCAGATGTAACCATGCTCATTTGATATATGCCAGAAAGTTCAAGGTTTGGGCATTTTTTGGGACATAAAAGAAAGCTGAAATATAATATTCAAAATGGAAGAAATGTATAGAGAGGAATAGAGAATGTAATTGAGGGGTGGAAAACAAGGGAACAAAAGAAGGGCTTTTATAGTTGGTGTGAGGGGTTTTTACAATATAAAATATGGGAATCTTGTAAATAACTTTCTATATTTGTATTGTATTTGATTTGATCAGAATCTAAAATTTGACTGAAATCATTCAAACTTAAAAAACCTACCAAAAACATAATCGTCATTAGAAACCAAACATCATAAAATGGGTAAATCACTACTAAAAATCTGCTAAAAACCGACCAACTATTTCCGACCAACGTTGGTCGGTCAAAAAAAGCGACCAAAAACCGTCCAGGTTGGACGGAAACTGGGAAAATTTTTTTTTATATTTTTTTTAAACTAAATACCGACCAACGTTGGTCGGTAAATTGGTCAACGAATTGACCCAGCTGGTCAGACAAGAAAATTTTGGATTACCGACTAATGTTGGTCAGTAATCTGGATCTAATTTTTTAAATTATAATAATTATTTTATTATTTAAAATATTTTATAATA